GCTAGCTCCGCCACTGGCCAGGGTTTTTGTCACTGAATGCAAATTCTATAGTGACATATGTAGCTTCATTGCTGAGGTACTTGCGAAGTCGGGTTTCGAACAACTCTGACCTTATAAGCGTTTTGTGCCTTATGGCATGACGCAACTCCAAGCCAGGGATTTGAACATCTAGGCTGAGTTTATCAACATCGATGGCAGCGCCGGTTCGTGGTCCTTGAGCAACCACTTGAGGAGGAGCTCCAGGTGCGACGGCGAGGGCGGTGCCAGTTCGCGGTCCTTGAGCGACCACTTGAGGAGGAGCTCCAGATGCGTCTGGTACTCCTCATCTCTTGCCACCTCCTTGAGGAGAAGTGGCCGCTGTTGTGGTTGTTGTGGCTCCTGCTCCTCCCCGTCGCCAGAGGAGAGGATGATCTCCTCCTCTCCGGAGGACCCGACGCCATTTACGATGATGGTCCAGTAGAGCGACGACAGCGGCGCCATGATCCGGATCCGGAAGGAGATCCGGAGCCACCACCTACGAGCACGGAGAATCAAGACTTCGACATCATCAACGACGATGATCGGAGATGAAGATGGATCGGCAGTGAGCGGAGAGAAGAGGGTGTGAGGTGTGGTGTGGACGGCGCCCAAGCCATGCTTAAATAGCCGCGGTCAAGCACACGGATGGGCAACCGGCTTTGCGATGCACCAGCTGGACTAGGCTTCTCGACCGTCGTTTCAGCACTGAACCGGCGGCGCCTGCTTGCCTGGTGGCGTCACACTGACCGGCATCAATGTTGTGGATTCACGTCCGCTTTGGAGCGTGCTGACTGGTATGAATATGCAGCAACCGCTTCATGTGAAGAGGGTTTTTTGGACGAATAGCGCATTGAAAGGGCATGGCGGTCATACGCGTACATGACGGACATCCAGACTTCCGCAAACCTTTTTTGGATTGCGTCCGGTTTACGGGCGTTGGGTGGCTTGGATCGTCCGGACACATGAATCCAGATATTTGAGGGCGTTTTGAGAGGCGCACGCCTTCCGCCAAATCCCTTTCTCTCTGTAGCCTCAAAGATGCTACGCTAGGATAGGAATGGTAGGCATGCTACAAGTTGCAGGGTACTATACGTACCCGATTGTAGGCTCTCTCTCTGTCTTCGCCACTTGGCTCTGTAATCCTGTAGGCCATCATTCTTTCAATCACAGCTAGCTCCAATGGCGTCATTTTTTCCACAATAACTTGCCTACCCCATTTTTCTTTGGTGCTAATATTATAGCGAATATTCAGGTTTTATGCGCATTGTCCTCACGCGAGAACTGAGTTGGTAGCCCTCTCGATCACATACTACAATATCACGACAAATTCAAGCACGGGTGCGAATCTTGGTTCTAGTACTATAAATGCTGTGAGAAATCAACCTATATATGAACTTTTCTCGGTAGAAATAAGTAGCAGCTAGAATGTCAGTGTGACCACAAGGTAGATCATGTAGTTTCTACTGCCTGCCTGCTGATGGCACCCTCTCAAAATCAACAGGATTAAAGCTAAGTTGACCTACATGCTAATGACTCTTGCTTTGTCAGACTGCGCGCCCTGCATGCTCAACGGCGTACTACAGTATACTGTATACTGTAAGGCATGCAGGGATAGCTAGCTTGGCAACGGCAGCTAGCCAGCCTCCGTATACGCCTCGATCGGAGCAGCTAATTGTACGGCGGCGCAGGCGTGAAACAAAGCGGAGCTCTCAGCTGGCCAGGCCAGGCCAGCCACCCAACTCCGTTTCTTCCGCGGCCCATTTCCGCTGTCACGTTGATTCTCCCCATGCAAGAAAAGGGCGCCGGCGCCGGCGAGGTAAAGGCGTTGGACAGACACACCACTATAAGCAGTGTCATGCAGAGGCACCTTTGCGTTGGACCGGCCGGGCTGCCTGCGCACATTTGCGAGACGCCGACACGCACCTGAGCTAAAGTGCACGCGGTCCCGGCGCTGCAAATCGCTACTGGTGTGTGCTTAAGGAGTAAAGACCAGCTCTCCACTAGCCGGCCGGCAGCGCCACACCTAGTGCATGCATGCCCGCCCCGCGAGAAGACGACACGGAGACGCGTTCGGTTGGGCCGGGCGTTTGGATCAACCGGTCCCCAACGAACGAACCCTCCCTTTGGCTCCCGCCCGTTCTGCCTTGTACGTGCTTCTTTTCTCTGGACACCGGCCGGCCAGGCTACGGCGGGCGCGGCAGCGGGCTAGCCACCGCCACCGGCCGGCCGGGGACCATGCGTCCGTCCGTTTTGGTTCCATTCGCGCGAGCGAGAGAGAGACACCGGCCCCGTACGCACGGCCAGGCGGCGGGGGGCACGCATTGACGTCGACGCAGGGAGCGAAACCCCATGCATGGCGCGCAGGCCCCCAAGCTGGCTAGCTAGCCGCTCAGGCAAGGGGACGAGGGTTTACGTACTGTACTTAGGCATCTGCATCAGGCCGGCCGGATGGGAATCAATTCGCCAGGTAGTAGCCCATGTAGCCTGCGGACTTCTGTGCTGTGCGTGCCATGATCGACGCTGCGATTTGGCTACTAGCCTCGCCCAGGCCCAGGCTTGGCACCGGCAGGCAGCCGCTAATCAATCAACAGCGCCAAACAAAACAAAAACCGAAGCTAGATAACTGGAAAAGTCAGTCAACCAATCAAAAATAATAAGAATAATGCATCGCCTCTGCGAGGGCGGACCGGACAGACGCGCTCCAGCTTGAATCGCTGTCCGCTTTGACCGTGGGAGGCCCGCCAGATTACAAAGATTTACACAGTGATGGACAACCGATCATCGGCAACAGGACTGTGGGCACTGTGGTGCCAAACGCGCCGAGCGAGCTGCGACCAGACCAGAGCAGGCCAGAGAGCACGTCGCGGAGCGGGTGGTCAGGTGGGCCGGCCCACTGCGGCGGGCGGGCGGGCGGGCGATGGATCCCCACCACGCATTCCGGCCCTGCCCTGCCCTGCCCGCTTTTCAGACGGAACAGTCCCAAGATGCTAACTACCGGGCACTGTGGCGGCACTGTTCCCTGTCCAGAGGGAGGAGAGGAGAGGAGAGGAGAGGAGAGCGGGACTGGACGCTTTGGCTTTATTGCCCCCCTCGGCTTTCCCAATCTGCCCCTCGCTCGCTGGCCCTGCTACCTCCATCCATTCCCATTCCTTGCCTCTCTTGCCCGCTCTGGCTCTCGCGCGGACGAGCAGGAGCAGGGGGGATCCCGGCTTTCAAATCATCAGAGGCAACAACAACGACGACGACAGATCCGAGGCTTTCTCGAATCGGGCAGGTCAATCAAATCCATCAGGAGTGCCCATCAAATCAAATCACCTCACCTCACCTCATCACGTCTCGTCAACAAGACTAGAGTATATACACGTCCATTCATCCCTCCCCACTGCCGTTTCCCCCACTATATAAACCCCCTCCCATCCCCACCACTGCTCACTCCCAAGCATCCATCCCCTCTCCTCTCCTCTCCTCTCCTCTCCTCCGGCGTCTTCCTCCCCCCACCCCACCCCCACCCTCACCCCCTCTCCTGATCAAAGCACGCGCCCGCAGGTGGTGGTGTGGTGGGCACATACACACAGTACTGTATGCGCGACGCGGCTTTGCTTGTCGCCAGCACCATGATGTCGTCGCCCGCGGAGTCCGAGACCAGCTTCTTCCCGGACCACCTCGCGGAGCAGCAGCAGCAGCAGCCCCCCTTCGCCGAGCAGGAGCAGCTGTGCTACGTCCACTGCAACTTCTGCGACACCATCCTCGCGGTACGTACGCCTCCTCCAGGCTCCAGCCAGCATCCCTTCCATTCGCAGCTCGGTACGCTCGTTTCCACCCTCGTCTAAGAATCTCATGCTCGTCCGTGTGGTGTGCGCATGCAGGTGGGCGTGCCGTGCAGCAGCCTCTTCAAGACGGTCGCCGTGCGATGTGGCCACTGCGCCAACCTGCTCTCCGTCAACCTCCGGAACCTCCTGCTCCCGGCCACCGCCAACCAGCTCCCCTTCAGCCCGTCGCTCCTCTCCCCGACCTCGCCGGCGTCGCCGCACGGCCTCCTGGTATGAATATGTACCTACCTATTATTATGCGTTGGATTCTTAACTTGTACAGCGTCTTTGAACTGATGGCAGATATTTGCTTACTTAACTTGACTCCTGCAGGATGAAATGTCATCCTTCCAAGCGCCGTCGAGCCTACTGACTGATCAGGCCAGCCCCAACGTGAGCAGCATCACCAGCAGCAGCAACAGCTGCGCCATCAACACGCCGGCCATGTCCATGATGCCGCCGCCGGAGAAGCCCGCGCAGAGGGAGCCCCAGCAGCGGAAGAGCGCTGCGTCGGGGACCAAGCGTAAGTGCCAAGCTCAGTTCCAAGAAACCATTCTTCTCTTCCTGCCGCCGGTCGTACGTACCAGCAACTAGTCAAAGCACCTTGATGCCCTGGGCCGGAGAACTCCGGGCGCCGGAGCATGCATGTGCAGCTGCACTGTTCTTGGTAGCACGCCACGCATAGCATACAGCGCCTCTTTATGCATTCTGTCTCTCTTTTAAGGATTCTTTCTGGGCGGTCAATGGAGTTTTCGAGTGGAAGAGGCCGGTTGAATAGTTTGCTCGCTCACCAGCTCAATAGTACCTTTTGTCCGTGGAGGAATTTTTTCCCCCAAACTCCAACGTTAACATATGCACAGTGTGTGATACTATTGAGGCATAGGAGAACTAAACTAAATAAATGTAGTGAGCATTAGGAATCAGAAACATAATCAGTTCTGTAAGTTAGGTATACGACTGTAGGGGTACCAAATGAGACGCCAGGATGCACTTGTCTGATCTTTCTCCCTGATCCGTGCTGTTCCTGAAGCTACCAAGTACTGTTTCTCCTTATTTAATTTTAATGCTGCTTGCCGTGATTATCTGCAGATCCAGAGAAGCGGCAGAGAGTTCCCTCGGCATACAACCGATTCATCAAGTGAGTGATGATCAGTGGCTCATTCTAGTTCCCCGTTTTAGCTTGCATATATCTTCTCTCTGGCAAAATGCATATGCATGATTTTTTCAAGGGATGCGTCAAGGTTGACGCATCAGGATCATAGATAGAGAAAGTGGCCAGAAGAAAAGGTATGCATGATGCATGGTTTCCTATGTACGCAGAGACGAGATTCAGCGTATCAAGGCCAACAATCCGGACATCACCCACAGGGAGGCTTTCAGCGCAGCTGCCAAGAATGTAATTAACTTCATCTTCTTTATTTCTCATTCTCAACACACATTTTGCTCGGATCGGGTTCGGTCTTTGATTTGTTCAATACTTTGTGTATTTATCATCGATCGTGTGCATCCATCAGTGGGCTCATTTTCCACACATCCATTTCGGTCTGATGCCGGACCAAGGCCTGATGAGGAAGACCAGCATCCAAAGCCAGCTGGTAAGTAAAGGAGGCCCTAAAACCTAATCGTATACTACTATGTCCGTGCAGAATCAGATTGAGCTAACGAGCATAGGCCCTGAGCAGCTAGCACTTATGTCGTTCTCCTTTGTGCTGTGTGCGTAGGACGGAGCTGGGGATTGCATGCTCTTCAAGGACAGTCTCTACGCGGCGGCGGCGGCCGCAGCAGCCACAGCGGCATCTAGCATGGGCGCCACTCCGTTTTAGCGTCTTCCCATAGAATATATTGCCTTAATTTTCGCTGCATTCTAGCTAGGGTGCTGGGGGGTCATGAGATCTTGAGATGTATCGTATCGTATCTACGAGTACTCTTCTAGTTTTCGTTGTTTCTTCCTGTCTTTTGCCCTTTCCCTAGTCCTATATGTTCGCCTATCAGCTAATGAGGTTGCTGTGCTTGCCACCTCTTATCTTATGGACATAAAATAGATCGATCTAGTTGCCGCACATTATCATTTTAAATTAGTTCATAATCCTAACTCCTTACTTCGGCTTTCTGTCTACTAATTACATGTCTGCTGAATAATTGAAGATGTGTGGGATTTTTATCCTTCGAATTCCTCAAATCACTAGTGACATGTATGTTACTATAGGATTTTAGATCTTTCAACATGACACTAGTAATAAAGAGCTAAAATCATATTACCTCCATCCGAAAAGATTATCTTAAATTTGTCCAGATACGGATGTATCTAGACACCAGACTGAGGGGTATAAAATTTGAGGAACCGATAGAATTGTATAATGAAGAGCTAAAATCATAATGGTTATGTCCGGGAATTTCTATTGCTAAGTAGAAATTGTTGTAAGTAAGTTTCTCAAAAAAAAAAATGTTTGTATTGTAGATAAGTGTTTGCAAGGAACTAAGTCATGTGTTTGATAAATTCAGGGTTGGAGGCACACTTATCACATGGTTGGGTAAATTAATCCTCTAATGACCTCCTAAAAAGTGCATCAAAGCACAATATATACTTATCACAGGATTGGATGTTTCTCAAGCAGTTTCGAACTGTACAACAACTTAACCAAACAGACAATCATAGCGCACGGGAATATCAAGCGTAACCAAATAGATATAACAAATTAAAGCTAATCTCATCTAACAAAAAAGAAATGTAGTTAATCACATCGTAAGACCCTAAGACATCTAGTTTTGATATCATTGCTCAAGCATTTCAACTGGGCCAAAACCCCAAACTTGATTTAGTCAATATAAAAGAAATGATACACTGAAATATCTTTGTTTTTTATTGATCCATTGTACGAAAATACATAAATTATTTTAAGTTAATGATATTTTCAAATTTCGTAGAAATAAAATAGATAACAAAACTTGTGCACCAAGATACTAATCGTGTAACAAGCACAATATCCATGTCAAATCGGGCTACATGATAAAAATTCTACCTATGATGCTGTTTTTTTAACTGAAGCGGAGATGAAAATGAATTTACAAAGTGCACAATTTTATCTTGTTTAGTAAACCAAATAAGTATAAACTTGGTTGTAGACTATAATTGTCGTATGATATTTCATCTTATTTTTTGAGGATAGTAAATACTACATCAGTTTGAATATGATATGATTGCACGAATAAGCATGTAACCAAACACCCAATTACTAAAAAGCCGCAAACTCAGTTGATCAATTAGGCTGTCATAATCCATCTCAATGTCTAGTAAAACATGACCTTGTCCGGTCAATACAGTGCGGCTTTGTCATGCTGAACTTCTCTTTACTTGGAGAAAAAAGATCACTCAACTGGCAATTGGCAACAAAGTTATGGTCAACAAATAGATGAAACGATATCCATAGATGTTTACACAAGATTCAGATTGCATATATGCCAAATATAGTTGTTATTTCTGACATATGTGCATCCGGCGTGAAATTACCTGCTAATTTTTGTATCAAAAGTAAGCCGTTTTAGACATTAAATGGTCTATGTTTCATAGTTTATTTTGTACAGATATACGTATATTTCTTTTAAAAATTGTACATCAGGAAAGAATATGCACTGAGCAGAGATAGTAAAATCGGGGTATTTTTGTTCGGTGAGTGGAGGGGCGGGGGGGCTTGTTGGAGAGGCTCTCTTCATAAATAGATGTCTAGTAGAATGGGCGCAGCCAAATTTCTCTAACTCCAACCCATGGTATGCTAAAAAGTATCAAGTGATGATGCTAAACTGTTACTACCTGATTTCTCATGATCATTTTAATAATGACACACAATTATAATTTCCACTAGCTAGCTCATACTAATTATGATCTTTTTTTTCAAATTTGTCCAATAGAGAACGTGCCCTAGATCCAAAATGTCATATCTATACCTACTTTTTTTTTTGAAAAATCATATCTATACCTACTAATAAAGTACGGATTACTTCTGTCTGTTCACCGTCATCATTTTTACAGAAAACCTCCAGTCGTTTCTATAATTAACCCACAGTCCATCTACAACAAATAATATTTTTTAAATACCCATATCTTTTAAACTCTAACTCCAGTTTCAACATGTTACTACTAAGATGCCCGTGTGTTGCACGGAACACTGAAATACATTGATCCGGGAGTTGTTTATTTGACAAAGTATGTGGGGGTAATCTCATGTGTAACAAGTATCAATAGGTTTCTTCGGATATCATTTCTTCTCTAGAGCTCACAAGCATCCGGGTAAATAGTAAATGTAAGCAAAATAGATAAAAAAATCTTTTGCAAACAAAAGCATTCAAGTGTTCAACCTGGATCCAAAACTTTTGAAGAAATAACACTTATTGTGCTTTGCAAAAAATGATCTTTAAGAATTATTTTTTGAGTATCGATTGTGTCTGTTTTTTTCTAGACCACCATGAATGTACCTCAGGATGATTTGGAAGGGGGGAAGAGGAGAGATGGCGAGGAGGAGCGGGTCGTGGTGGTGGTCAGCAATGCAGCCTGAGAGAAGGGATGAGAGGAGTTGGGGGCAGACGGGCGCCGAAAGCAGCGACCTCTCCAGATCCTTTTTATTTTTTTCCTGAGATGGCTAGATGAGGTGAGGGGGAGAGATGGTTGAACGTGAGAGGCAGGGAGTTATTTACAAACGAGGAGTGTACGGGGGTCTTTTTGCAAAACTGGCATAGTTTGTCTCATATGCGTTGGATGTAAATCAAACGGTTGTAAATGAAGGATGACAGGCACACCATCATCACCAATTCAGCTTTTTATATAGGAGTAGAGATATATGAAATTTGATAAGAAAAATATGTAGAATACGAATATGCTATTATTTTACCTATTAAATACTTTTAAATGCTATTTAGGGTGCAACCTTAATCAATAGCACACCATGCATCTTTCTTTTGTACCGACACCGACCTAGATTGCAATGAACACCTCATCAAAGACAAATTGGATGCGAAAGAAACCGTCGATAACCGTGCATGTACGCGTTGGCAAAAGCTTTTTAAAATGCTATTTAGGATGCAACCTTAATTAATAGTGCACGATCCATCTTTTTTTGTACCGATACCAACCCGGATTGCAATGAACACCTCAATAAAATCAAATTGGAGACGAAAGAAATTGTCGATAATGGTGCATGTACGCCGCGGCAAAATTTTGCATGAAAATAAATCAGATTTCTCATCTTATGCCGAGAGAGAGACGCCTCGGCAAGACCTATTCGGGTCTTAGTCATGGTTATTGGTTTTGGCCCGCCGTGCGGCATTTTCTTCTCCCGTTACAACGCACCGGCTATTTTGCTAGTGTTTACTAACGAAGTGAATATACTAGAAAACATAATAGAAGAATCACAAGTAAAGATCATATAATGATAAAGTAATAGTGTGTAATAGTAATGAAAGATCGGGAGTGTGTATTATTGGAACACATTTTTACCCGTTAGTTATTGGAATGGATTTTAAAAACATAATGCATGCGCCGGTGTGAGGGAGCAAATTTTGAAACATAATGCATCGCCTATCACCCAAAGAATAACATGAAAATCTTAGAGTAAATCCAGAAAATGAGCATCCTGTATCAAGTCTAGTACTTTAACTCGGTTGGGCATATTCTAGCGCAAGGGGGCTAATGGTAGACTTTTTTTAGGGCAAACCTAGTAGCTCAGTTCGCGATTATGGAACATACTAGCTACCTCAACTTTATAATATAGTGCATATAGATTTTTCGGAATGTCAAATGTCATCAGTAATTAGCAAACATGTAGCGAAAAGTACCAACATATAATAATGTGAAATCAATAGCATTACATAAATTGTTAGAAATACTTTTATACTCCCTGCGATCCATATTAATTGTAGTAGAGCTACGTTAATTAATCTGGATCAGAGGGAGTATTATATCTATTTGATGTTAATGTTGTCTTGACGAACCTAGCCCGGTCCACCCCTAATTATTTCAGCCGTCGAATGATCCAATCCATTGCACAGTAGTAGGTCGACTGGTAGAGTCTAATCATCAGAATCCGTTCATTCATAATCAGTGCCGTCCAACACATATGCTCGACAAAACTGCTGATGCGTTCTTCAACCTTGATCATCTGCAAGATTTGTTGCTACAAACTTCCATGGCAGCGCGCGCGGGAGAAGCGAAAGCACGCCCGGCCGGGGCGTAGGCGTCCGTTCCCAGCTCCCGCGCGCCATTCCTTCGTTCGTTCGATCGCTCGAGAAACTAGCTGCCTCCATGTGTATCCATATCCGGTGGGAAACCGGGGTGACGAGTCCCTATCCGTAGGAAAGTACGTGCGCCCCATTACCCCACGGCGACAAGCAGAAGGGCTCTACACGCATCGTTCGGCGTGCGCGTCAGGCGCGCGCAGTGCAGCGTGCCGCTTAGACGCCGCGCTAGGCGACGATCAGAACTGAGGCCACGCAGGCAGGCAGGCAGGCAGGCAGGCAGCAGGCCGCGCTAGCTAGCGCAGCGGCAGCCTGCGGAAGGCCTGCCGCGGCGCAGGGCGGGGGTCAAGGCTGCCCGGGGTCGGCCACAGTAGGGAAGGGAGCTAGCCAGCCAGCCAGCCATCTTGCGAGCGAGGCCTCGACCGGCGTATAGGCAGCGCCGCGTCCGCAATTGCGCATGCGCGAGGGGCGGTTTCGTAATACTACTGCTCCAGTAGTAGCTAGCTAGCTCGCTCTGCCGGCCGGATGGCGCGTAGTACCGGAGGCGGCAGCAGCAGCTGCAGCATCATGGCCCGCTCGCTGCCACGAAATTATGAGG